CAACCAAATTCACACTGCGAGAAAACCAATTACAAAAATACTGCAGACATTTAAATTTTGCCCGCCAAAAGTTGTTTTGAAAGCTAAAGACAACAATGCGATCGAAGATTCAGTTACAGTTCAGCTGAGAATCGGCGAGTTCAACGAGAGCCATAGCTCCGTACCATCGCTCTCTTGCGTCTGCCATCCTCTTTCTTGCCTCGATTCTTGATTTCTTTCGCTCCACGATTTGTTGTCGCGCAATCTCTTTCTCTAATTTTCGCTTGAGTACTCTTTCTTCCAGCTTTGTAGGATTTCGTTCATCTTTCTCCATCTCGTAGTTCGCTAGCCATTTCAACACGGCAGCCTTGTACTCGTTTGGCTCGGAATTTTCGTTCTTGAGGATTTCTTTCAGTGGTATTTCGGTGAAAGTCCGCTTTAAGCCAGCGTATGGATGAAGGCTGCAATGGCGATTGGCGTGAGTGAACCTCGTTGTACAACCTTCGGCAGTGCAAGCAAATGGCTTTTCGCCGGTATGGAGACGCTGGTGAGTCTTTAACTGGCCACTCTGAACAAAGGCTTTTCCACAGTTTGGAAAATCACAGACATAAGGCCTTTCACCGCTGTGGGTTCTTTTGTGAGCTTGAAGAGACTTCTCGCGCGGGAAAACGCGGTTGCAAACATCACAGCGAATTGAGGAGTACGAGTTCTGTCCTTCTTCCATCAAAATGTTCAGCACATCAGCTCTCGGTCTCCCCCTTGGCGGTACCACATTCGGTGATTTCGGGGAGAACTCGTTTACAGGCGTTCCTTTCGGTGTAGTCGGGGTTTGAGGTGGAGATGGTGGCATGAAATTGTGTGTTGGTGTTGTCGGAGGCGACCAAACGATGACCGAAGTTCTCTGGTTCTGTTGCGAGTTGAGCTGCTCGGAGATATCTCCAAACTTTGGAACAGGCCGTAGCATCTTATTGTTCGTTGAAAACAGGCTAGGACCAGGCTGTGGAAAATAAATACCGTTTTTTTGAAAGGAAATCGTCAGGAAGTCGGCCATTTTTAAACTGCACAGTTCAAGTATCACGGCAGTTTAAACGGGTTAAATGAAATTTCCCGCCTTTGGTAATGTATTTTACACGTCACGAACAAGTGAATAAATTGTAAATGCGCGCCAAAATCTTTCGGAGGTTTCTTGGATTTTTCGCGTGCCTATTTTCACAAAAAAATCAAACTAACAAACCCTCTGATTTCTAATAAAAGTGGTGAAGTAATTCTTTAAAGAAAATGCTGAATTTTCACCATCATGTTAGCCCGAAAACGAGAATTTTCAGGTACGTGACGTCACTATACAAACATTTTGTGCAATGGACCATGTTCATTTTCGATTATGGTATTTGCATTTCTATTGGCAGTTTCATTTTAAAGCACATGTCAACACGTGGCATAAGAAATATTATTTTACTTTCCAAAGAAAGATTCAAAGTCCTCGAGCCAATATACGTTCATTCAAGTTCCCTGCTTAACTTTTCTTCGCTTATCTGCTTGTTTAATAATAAACGATCACAGGGAAAAGGATACTGGATTTCTTGGAATTAAAATTCCGGGTTACATTATGCCATGTGCTTGAATTACTTGATGCGTGGCTTTTGAGTGATTTAAGTCAAGTGGTTTATAAAGCAAGTATTGATCATTCAGTTATAGTTCTGCATAAAAATAATGCACATTATCTTAAGAGCTTGTTTTGGCGCCACGAAAGTGAATTCAGCCGTTTACCTCCCTGAGTTTCTTGCTCGGTTGAGTTCACCTTCTTTCAGTGGAAGATGGAGAGACTGCGCTTTGTGACACAGTGCAATTTTATCGTGTGGGCACAAGTTTAGAGTCAAGAGTGGAGGTTATTTTTTAGTCTATAGGACCTATGGAGGTTTGTTAGACTCGTCCGGCCCCTCGCTCCTTTTCACTGAAGGGACGAGGAACGAAAAGAAAAGCCTGAATTTGCAGTATACCAGAGTATACATCGCATAAGTTTTCAGATTTTTATCGAGACTTTTTTCTTCTTACCATTAAAGGCATAAATGTAACGAAATTGAAAAAAAAATCCAATCGAATCAAACGCAGCTGAAAAACCGGAAGCGGACCATCGATGGAATAGAGAGCGATAAAGATCTGATTGTTAACCATTGTTGCGAGTATTGGGAGGAGCTTGTTTATACATTGTAATCTATAGGCAGCTGATGAATTTAGGCCATTCCATTCATAAGGCTCAAAACTTCAAGCATTCTCCCTCCGTCTCGATGATTTTGGTATCCCCGTGTTCTCGTGTTTAGGTATAAAAATACAGAAAATATGGGCTTCCGGATATATACCCCTGATCCGGCTCAGAACAGTGAAAACACTAATACTGCTTCTGAAAACGCGACGGGCGCCGATAGAGAAGAAAAAAACGTCTTAAAGTTTTCATCAGTAGATTTGAGTGCTTTGCATATCGGTTTTTTAGTCGAGGCAACCTGGGCCCAGGCTCTTTGGTGGGGAATGAAGGACTAGGGAGGGGGGAGAGGGAATTAGAGAGGGAAAAGGCGGAGGATTACATTCCCCACGCCCCACTCCCTCTCCCATTTTTCCCTTGCCGTTAGTTCCCTCTTCCCCTGTTCTCAGGCTGATCACGCACGCATTTTTAATGATTTGCGTCGGATGACGAAGTTGACCGTCAACTCATGTACGTAGAAGAAAAGAACTACAACTCAATCACTGAATTAGTGCTTATGAAAGCAGGGCAAGAATTCTTCCCAAAACAACGCGAGATGCGTAAGACCAACGCTAACCAGGGACGTCCCCTGGGAACTGGAGGTAGACATTATAAATTTGCACCAGAAGGCATTGGCTGGGCACTGAATGAAGAATTCTCTACTCCGCAACAGCTTTTCGTAACTGGAACAATCAGATTTGTTGCAAGACATTTGATTTGTGTGATAAAACGTGCACACAACATTGCTTTTAAACTCGTTTTGCGGCAATGTTGTAAAACAAATTGCTCGCTTTTGTGATCTTTTGTTGCTCGTTTTACTGTTCATACCCCGGAAAGCAGTCGTCTTTCCGACCTGCGCGTATAAAAGCCGTGCCTTACAAGGATAATTCCGGGGGAAATTGAACCCCTCCCACCCCCATGTTTTTTTTTCAAAGTCAAACATGAAATACCACCAGTGCATTGAATAAGAAAGGTTCCATCCTGCTGAGTTTTACGAAGCCGTTTGTGGTCTGCTCAGTCTGCAACTAATTTGCTCGTGAAGCAAATTCCATATTTTCTTGATGTTGCCATAAATCCCATGATGCTCTTGTTCATTGAAATTTTCTTTCTCTTTCCGAGAAAACTGTTGCTGCCTTCGGGGTTAATTCAAATATGCACCATCCCGTGTCCAAAAGCCTCCCAGAAAGCGCGTGATAGTCGTTAATTTTGACCCCAGAAAAGACGTTTTATCGTCAAGAAAAATAAATGTGACTGCAGTGCGGGAGATCGTTGGTTCGGTTAGTAGGGATAGATAAAAAATTCCCGTTTAAGTCTCAAAATACTGTTAACGAGTAAATATGGAAATGGTTGAACGGGTAAAATCGAGATATGAATATTCAAAAGGATTTTTTCCCATTGACTGCAAAGTCTCCAAACACACATCCTCAGTGTGTAAACTAAGTAAGTGCATCAAAAGAAGATGGACATGGTGCTTATTTTCGTTCTGGCGACAATTTTCGCAGCTAGTTTTACCTCAGCTGTTGCTCAAGGCCGCAACGCAAAGGTGCTACTTAAGGTGAGGGATGACAAGACCTATGAGCTTGTCGAAGATGTTTTGAAAGAAATATCATATCTTCAGCGCCCAATTCGAGTCTTAGCCGCCGTTGGAAACGCAAGGGTTGGAAAATCTTCCATGTTAAACCTCATTAACCACGTCTGGGATAGAAGGAAGAAAGGAAATTCTGTGGAAGAAATTTTTAAAACCGGTGATTCATTCAAACAAGTTACGCGCAATGTCTGGTCGCACACGATTATTCCACGAGGCGAAAACGGTGGAAGCATTGTTCTACTGGACGTAGAAGGCTTTAATTTAGGTGACGATACAGTAACGAAGCATCTCAGTATGTTTACGGCAATGATGTCGTCTTGTTTGAACCTTTTTGCCAGTGATTATCTGGGAAACAAAGATAAAGAATTCCTTTATGAAATATCCCGCTCCAGTGACCTAGTATTCAACCCAAACAAAACCAACCTTCGAAACTTTCCCAAGCTGCATATTGTGGTCCGAGGAAATTTGAAATCTCCTAACGAGCTCGAAAGTTACGTGCGTGATGAACTTTTTGGATCGGATCAAAATAACGGTTTGACCCAGAGTATGGCAGATATAATTGAAAGGTACTTTCCAAGGGACAGAATTTTAGTTAGCCAAATTCCAACTGTAAGCGACCCGGAAATTCTGCAAGATCTTGCGAAAATGCGCAAAAGTTCACACTGGGACAGTTTCGACAAGCTCATTGATAAATCTGTTAAGGAGTGTCCTGTGAAGCAGACCATTGGAGGAAGCAAAGTTGACGGTCCAGCCTTTGTAGAACTTGCGACGAAAGCTGTGAGATCCATAAATGAAAACTCGTGGAAAGACTTCGGAGATGTCTTTTCGAGCATTGAAAAGGACATATGTACGAGAAGTTACATTGAACACATAAAGCCAGTTTTACAGCTCAATTCAGGAGGGATTGGAGACAGGATGATAACAGCAAAGGAAAAATTCGAAAAGGAATGCTTGCTTACAAGTGAGATAGATAGAGTCACCGATATATTAACGAAGACACTTAAAGAAAAAAGTCAACAAGAAGCAGAGAAAAGGAGAGAGGAGGAAGAAAAAGAAAGGACGGAAAAGGAGGAGCAAAGAAGAAGAAAAGAAGAAGAAGAGAAAAGCTGGTATTCTTTTGAAAATATAAAATATTTTGGTGGCCATGCAGCCACCTTGCTTGTTGGGTACTTCCTAAGCGATAAAAATCTTAAAAGTAACGTCACGGTTTTGCCTTCCTCCCCGTACAACGACATTGGACTTACTGGTGTCTGCTGGAAATGGAATGACATCGCACAACAGAAGTTCGGACTCACAGGGGAGGCCTGCGGAGTGATTGCACAGCAAGTTCAAAAGCTGTATCCCAAGGCTGTTTTAGTGGGAGAAGATGGCTTCCTGCAAGTGCGATATGGAATACTCCATGAGATTATCAGTAACCACGTTAGAAACCAGAGCTGTTAGATCATACACGTTCAAAGGAAACCTAGTACAGCACAGATACTTTTTATACGACAAAGTGACATAAAGGAACTCAGTCAGACGTTCAATATTGTTGACTTTGCCTGCGAAACGATTAGTGCTGCTGAATTTCAGCTCATTGAAGTTGAGTCTGGTTTTGAGTTAGGAGGTTAGGACTGTAAACATAATTTTTTCGGCCGATTACCGGTGGGTGTATGATTTGTTGTTTCCTTTTTTTACTAAACAGTGCTGAAGTACCAGCACCTTTATGTGCCAAGCCATGCATGCGTTGTCAATAAATGTATTCTATCAAAATAATGCCTCATCTTTAGTTTAACCAGAATTACTGGATACCTTAATTTGTTACAAAGTTATTGTCTTGCTCTAAAAGAGAAAAGAACGACATTAACTTCATTTTCCCTGATTCTCTAAGACAATAGTAATTTATTTATTTATTTATTACACCAAAAAAACACAAAACAATACAAGTAAATGTCAAATTTACAGAAATTATTATTATTTACTATCACTGCATATTTTATTCAAAAAAAAGAAGAAAGAAGAAAAAATATTACTGAAAATTTAGCGATAATAATACTAAAACAATAAAACAAAAACTACAGCAACAACAAGAAAACTTATACACACGCGGCAAATGCATACTAAAGGAGATGTTGAAAGGTGAGGTGTCGTGCTATTATTGTTTCCAAAAGCTATTTCTTTCTGAATGCTCAACTTTTAACGAAGAAGTATGAGACAACTGTCAAAAGAGATCTCCGTTTTCCTCCTGTAGGCATCTTCAGTATATTGAGAATTTTGCAATTGATTAGGAGTGCGTACTTTAGTGAATATCTGTGTTGTGTATTATTGAAAACCCCATACAGAATCATACTGTCTGATAATGTCAAGGTTTGCCCAGTTTTATTGGTCTACCAAATTTAAAAATGTTCTCCGAAAGGCAACGACAGAGGAGCAGCTGAGCGCAATAATATGTGATCTAAAGAGTTTGTAGATAATAGTAATTGTGCTAGAACAATCGTGAGAACTTCCTTTCCGTAAATTGGGAAAATCTGTATCATTTAGTTAATCAACGACGAATGAATCAAAACATTCCCTCCTCCTATCCTCTCTTGATCTCGCTTAATGTCAATTTTAAAGTAAGGATAGGTTAACGATGACAAAGAAGTCAAAGAACTAAACTGCAAAAAACCGTGGACGAAGATCCCAAGGGTTGTCTAAGTTGGATCTTACGATAAGATCTAATCATGATGAAACTTCTAACATTTGATTACTTGAATTCTTTCCGTCATTACGACATTTTCGCTAAAACCCGTCGAAGTAGAATTGTAGCTAAAAATATTTAATAATAATAATAATAATAATAATAATAATAATAATAATAATAATCCATTTATATAGCGCCTTTTCTACAAGATTCAAAGGCGCTGTTTACAAAAATTAGATAAAACTAAAAAGTAAAAATAATCACAAGAATTGACATTAAAACTAGACGCTAACTACAAAATAGATAAATGTACACAATAGATAAAAAATCAGATAACAAATGAAAACATCACGATTCATAAGCTCGCATAAAGAGAAATGTTTTAAGTTTGCGTTTAAAATCATCAATTGAGTTTGCAGATTTAATATCCTCAGATAAGTTATTCCAAAGTTCCGGAGCAACAACAGAAAAAGCTCGTTTACCATACTATATTTCTATTAGAGGATCTAAGATTGCGGCTGGGTGTATACAATTGAAGGAGTTCCTGTATATAGATTGGAGCTCGATCATGTAGTACTTTGTAAGTAATTAACATAATTTTAAATTCAATACGAAAGGAGACAGGGAGCCAGTGAAGATCCCTCAGGACTGGAGTAATATGGCAAAATCTTGGACACTGGTTGACAAGGCGAGCGGCAGAATTTTAAACATGTTGAAGCTTCCGAATAAGATAGGATGGTAGGCCGTACAATAAAGAATTACAATAATCAAGTTTAGAAACTACGAAGGCATGAATAATGATCTTTGTAGCATCATAATATTTTCGTATGAAACGAATGTTACGTAGATGGAAAAAGGACGATTGACAGACTGCATTGACATGAGGTACCATACAAAAGGACTGATCAAAGATACTCCAATATTGCGTGCACTGGGGGAGCAGGATACAGCTAAAGCTAAAAACGACAAGTCCAAAGTGGTCTACTGCAAAGCTGATAACAACGTGTATTTTAAACTTCTAGGGGTCATTGTTGAAAAGCATAACGTTTTTTTATAGGTGAATCATAAAATATCACCAGTGAATAAGAAAGGTTTCAGCGGGTTGAGTCAGTCAACATTATTCAATTTATATATATGATATGTGATGTGATGAGTCTATCACTAATTCACTAAAGTGTGAAACAAATTCCATGTTTCTGATGTTTTCCAAAGCTGTCGACGACGTCGAACCTCACGTAAGCGACCACCCAAAATGCAAAGATTTAATGGTGGTCTCTTATGAGAACAAGGGGTATTTTTCGAGCAGAGGTCCTGGTATTACAATATAATTTTTGCAAGATAATTTAGTACATGCAATTTCTAAGTTACGATATATGTTTTCCTTTTGTCACTCAAAGTCCGTCGTATCCTTTGACGGGTAAGCGAACTACATAGATTAGTCGAGAGCAGACCGTGAGTTAAGGGGTCGCTTACAAAAGCTTGAAAACAACGGAAAATTATAAAAATGTATCCCCCAAAAGTGGTCGCGGTCACTTACAAGAGGTGCTCGTTTACGAGAGGTTTCATCTGTAAGGCTTTGACTGAAAAGTTTTTGGTTTTTTGGATCGATGGTCTCTCGAGGACATGGATTCGACTGTAGGCCATATTTCCCATGATTCACTGAATATTTCCTCTTTTTCTGCGAAAACTGCCGTTGTCTTCCGGTTTTTCCAAAGTATAGGAAGTACAATTTCCCCACCATCTAAGGTCGCATTCTCATGCAGCTTGTAAATTACATACAGTACATCAAAAGACGATGAACATGCTTCTTCTAGTCGTCCTGGGGACAATTTTTGCAGCAACTTTTACCTCAGCTGTTCACGATGCGAAGGTGTTTCTCAAGGTGACAGACAACAAAACCTACGAGCTCGTCGAAGATGTTTTGAAAGAAATGTCAAATCTCAAGCGCCCGATTCGAGTCTTAGCCGCCGTTGGTAATGCAAGGGTTGGAAAATCTACCACGTTAAACCTCATTAGTCACGTCTTAGGTAGAAGGAAGAAAGAAGGAAATTCTGTTGAAGAGATTTTTAAAACAGGTGATTCAGCCGAACAAGTAACGCGAAATGTATGGGCACATACGATTCATCCACGGGGCAAAAACGTTGGAGGCATTGTTCTTCTGGACGTAGAGGGTTTTGATTTAGGCGACGATGAAGTTACAAAGCATCTTAGTATGTTTACAGCAATGATGTCGTCTTGTTTGACCCTGTTTGCCAATGATTATTTGGGAAACAACGACAGAAACTTTCTTTATTACATATCCCGCTTAAGTGACTTGGTATTCCGAAACCGCAAAGCTGACCTGGGAAATTTTCCGGAGCTTCATATTGTCATACGAGGCAATCTGAAATATCCCGAAGATATCGAAAGTTATATTCGTAATAAATTCTTTCAGCCAAACCATGACAAGAATATCCAAGGTATGGTAGATGCTATTGAAAGATACTTTAAAAGGGATAGCATTACAGTTAGCCAAATTCCAGATATCAACGAACCTGAGATGTTGCAAGACACTGCCAAATTACGCAACATTTCCGCTTTTTGGAACAGTTTCGAAAAATTAATGGCAAAATTGGAGAAGTGTCCCGAGAAGAAATTTGCCATTGGAGGAAGCCCAATGGACGGTCAAGCCGTAGTGCAACTTGCTAAAGACGTCGTGAAAGCTATGAACGAAAATTCGTGGGCAGAATTCGGAGATGTTTATTTAAATAATGAAATGGGCATCTGTAAAAGAAGCTACGAAAAATACTTGAGACCAGTTTTACAGTTTGATTCGAAAGGAATTGTAGACTATATGATGGAAGCAATAGAAAAATTCAAAACTGATTGCAATCTTGAAAGTGAGATAGAGAGTGCCAAGGAAGAATTAAAGAAGACCCTCAATGAAAAAAGAAAACGAGAAGAAGAGAGAAGGAAACAGGAGGAAGTAGAAGAAAGAAGAAGAAAAGAAGAGGAAGAGAGAAGAAAAGAAAAGGAAGAGCGAAGAAAAAAGGAAAAGTGGGACTCTTATGGCTGGTATTTAGCTGGCTTGTTAGGCGGGTACTTGGCCTTCTTTAGCGATGAAAATCTAAAAAGTAACGTGATGGTTCTGCCTTACTCCATTTACAACGATATTGGACTTAATGGAGTCTGCTGGAAATGGAATGACAACGCACAGCAAAAGTTCGGTCTCACAGGGGAGGCCTGCGGAGTGATTGCACAGCAAGTTCAAAAGCTGTATCCAAAGGCTGTTTTACTGGGAGAAGATGGCTTCCTTCAAGTGCGATATGGAATACTTCATACGATGATTAACCACGTTAGAGACAAGCGCTGTTAGACTTTATAAGTCCAAGGGAAACTTAACCTGAGATCAGGCTCTATTTTTGTTTCGCTTCAATTTCAGCGGTAGCCGTTTATAGAGAGAATGTATGAGAACTGCTCAAATTGGGCCTGATCTCAGGTTAAGGGAAACTCAGTACAGCACAGTTGTTTCACTAGAAAGCGATAAAAAGGAACTTTCAAACATAACTTGTCGACTTTGCATGCGAAAGGTTTAATTAGTTGTAATTTCAGCTCGTTAAAGTTGACTCTGGTTTACGAGGTTAGAAAGATAAACATAATTTTTTGGCGGATGTATTACCAATGGGTTACTAACTTGTTGTGTCATTTTTATAGTTAAAAACTGTTGAAAGAAGGCGTGAAGTAGTTGAAGTATGTAGTAAATTGAAAATCTAGTACGCCTTGCAGCCATGGTCAATAAACGTTTTGCCATCGAATTAATAACTTATGAATATCTCAATTCTTTTATCGAAAACAATTACGAACATATGGAGACGTAATCTTTTTGTTTAAGTATTACCTTGCAGTCAAAGGGAGAAGAACCACACCGTTGACTGTTCCCAGATAAACGAGGCAAAACAATCGTGCCGAAAACTTCCTTTCCAAATTTGAGAAAACGGTAAAGATTCTGTCATTGGTGAATAAACAGGGATGAATCAAAACGTCATCCCCACCTCTCTCATACACAGTGCACGCTTTGTAACGGAGGTAAAGTTATGTACCGCTTCTAAGAGAGCTACAACATCGTCTAAAGCATGTATTTAAGTTTTGAATTTTTCAAATCGTGCCAATACAATCTTAAATTTTTCGAAATCTTGCCGGCAAGATTTTGAATTTTCCAAATCTTGCCGGCAGGATCTTGAATTTTCAGAAATTTTTTTAGAAATCTTGTGGGCAAGATCTGGAAAATTCCAAAACTAGCTGGCAAGATCTTGAACTTCCTAAATCTTGGCATCAAGATCTTGAATTTTCCAAATCTCACTTGGCAGCAAGATCTGGAATTTTGCAAATCTTACAGGCATTTTTTTGGAACTTCCTCTAACTGTAAGCTGGAGTTTATGCAGACAGACAAGCTCCACTATAATTCTGCAAAACCCTTGACGGAAATTTGCCCACAGAAAAAGTTTTGATCAGAATTTCCATAATTATTTTCACCATTTAAGGGCCTGTTTACATGGAGGTGGGGGACCCCAGATAGGTGGGGTAACATGTGCCGGGTCACCCCACCTATCAGGTAAATCGAATTAAATGAGAGATTATATGGACAGGCAAATTACCTCACCTACCTGGGGTCCCACACCTCCATGTAAACAGGCCCTTAGTTTAATACTTTACCAAAATAGTCAAACCACCCATAAAAGACCACCCTAAATGCCAAGAATTAATGGTCACTTAAGAAAATGAAACGAAAGGAATCTCTTCCAGGAAAAAAAGGTTTGTGATAACTACTGTTCTCCCAAGAAAATTTACACTTATGGGTCATTTCGATACAATAATTTATTATACAGGATATAATTGTGCATTTGAAAAAAAAAGAAAGAAAGAAAAGAAAGAATATTTACAAGAGCAAAGTTAATTTTATACACCCTNAAATGAGAGATTATATGGACAGGCAAATTACCTCACCTACCTGGGGTCCCACACCTCCATGTAAACAGGCCCTTAGTTTAATACTTTACCAAAATAGTCAAACCACCCATAAAAGACCACCCTAAATGCCAAGAATTAATGGTCACTTAAGAAAATGAAACGAAAGGAATCTCTTCCAGGAAAAAAAGGTTTGTGATAACTACTGTTCTCCCAAGAAAATTTACACTTATGGGTCATTTCGATACAATAATTTATTATACAGGATATAATTGTGCATTTGAAAAAAAAAGAAAGAAAGAAAAGAAAGAATATTTACAAGAGCAAAGTTAATTTTATACACCCTTGTTCTACTTGCCAACTTAGTACCAAATCATAGGAAAAGCAATCTAAGTTGATTCATCAAATGGGTCACATAGCCATCTGAGAAGCTTGTTGTTTATCACCTGTGGGGGCGTTACATAGGGGGTACTGAGCAGTACCGAGCTTGAATCAAAATTTGAATGCAACAGCTGTAAATAGTAAACACTGATCTCATAGAAACAACTGTAGATAAAGTATGTGGAGAACTAAGGCACAATTTGTTGCTAGAATATTCGGGTTGGAGTCACTTTCAAAATATGCAAAATTTATGGGGGGTAATTTCCAAAAAGCTAGAAGGATGAATTGGGGGGGTTGGTTTGAAAATCTTCTGAGCTTTCTCAAAATGGATGCCCCTCCTCACATGTAATAAACGACTAGCTCCTGAAATATATTTTTGATTGCTAGTGAAATGACTTTGCAGCGATGTGACTTGACACCCCTAAGAATGTTTTTAAACATTTTAAAAAACTGCACATTGGCCTGGAATATCTAAAACATTGCAATCTGGACTCTAAGACTAATGTATGTAGCATAAAAGGCAAATATTTATCTCATGGATTAAAAATAATTTTGAGCTTGATTCATCCTAAGCCAGGCATCAAATAAGCGAGATTATCCAGAACCTCTGCCTGTTGAAAAAAATAAGAAATTCAAGTCACTTGGATTGGTTGTTTACCCATCTCAGACCATGCACCGTTATTCTAGACAACAGCTGTTTCTTTGAAATGTCATAACATTCGTGTATATCAACACCTAACTGACAATTAAAGTAAGGCCATCACATATAATGTAACCTGCAGTGGGGTGACAAACTACGGTTGCACCTCTCTTTAAAAGACCAATAGTGACCTTAAATGACCTTTAAGTGACGACCAATACAGTTCCATGGTGATCAAGTTCTTCATTCTCATGATCACCACGTTTGTTTAAGCAGAGTCACCATAAGGAGAAACTGGATGCTGATCAAAATAAAAAAATCCAAGTACCTGAGTTTTCGGAGAACAGCCATTCATTTCTGGTACTTGAGATGTAAGAAACAGAAGTGGTGAAATAGCACACAGTGCACTGTCTAACAACACCGACAAGCTGCCATGAACTTCTCCCGGGTCCTGTAAAAGAACATCGACTTGTCAAGACAACACAAAGAAACATAAATAGTTACTTTTAGAGAAAGAAAAAACAACACAAAGATGGTCAGAGTGCCCACACAGGCCATAAATTTAAAGGTAGGCCATTCTACCAGGGTCTACTGTTTGTTTGGGAAGCTGTCTGAGTTCTGTCTGTCTGTCCCATAAAGTCTTTCTTTCAGTGCTTTTTTTGTGCATGTAGTGCCCTTCCTGAGGCACGTTTAAAGATTGTACTGTGTTTTGTTGGGACGTAGGGGATGTAATCCAGCAGTATAGAGGAGATAAAGTCAACAGGCAGACAAGATCTTGTTTGGTGTTCAGAGGACAAACCCACATATCTCACCCAACAGACCAGCATTCTGCCATGAAGTATTTCAAAGTCTTATCCCATCCCTACTCCACCCTCTCATCCTAGTATAACTTCTACACACCTGTACCCTGAGGCAGGCTCCAATTGTCCCAAGGGACTCCCCCAGGAGTTGCAAGTGTGCTGCTAAGTCAATAGGCTCAGCTTTGTCATCCTTTACTTTTGGTGCAGGTGTGGAGACAGCTTTGGGGGTTGATTGAAGTCCAAGTGATTTCCTGAGCTCTTCTGCCTTCTTTCGCCAATGCTGCAAAAACAAAAGAGATGTTTAACTGCTTTACTCCCAGATTTCGTCATGACAAGAATATTTGTCCCTTTTAAATCTGTGGATGAAATTCTATGGTGTTACCATTCTTTGACAAAACGTTTGCACTGTGCTATTTTCGGTGGCTTCTTTCACTGTTTTGACTCTGGTTTGTGGCTTGTGAAAAGTTACGGGTTTTTCATACTAAAGCAACTGTTTTGTTTTACTTTGCCAACAAGCTGTTCTCACTATTTGTTTAAATAACAGTGCTCAACATTTAGATTACCATTGAATTTATATACCTGCTTATCTTCTTCACTGAGGTTGTTCCAAGCAATGCCCACCTTTTTGCTTATTTCTGTAAACTCTAAAAAAACAAAACAAGAAAATCTTTCTGGAAATTACTAGGAAAAGAGAGGGTAGCCTGTAAATTTACAGCCTCCTTTTATGTCTCACTACCACACAATGATGTTTTGTGAGGAGGATGCCTAAACTATGGTCAGGTTTAATTGGATGAAGTTTATCAGACCACCAAGAATTTGGCTTATGTGACATGTACAGTGTACACATTATTATTGCATGCTAAGGTATCGCCTTTTATTACATGTATTCATATGCACTACAACGTGTATTAGCACTAATGCAGTCCAATAATGCAATGTATATTCAGGATTGAGCAGTAATGCTTGTTGCAACATGTTATGTCCTGTACCATTATAGTTAGAGTTGTACGCTTGGAAACGTTGATGCCTGATAAAATTTAATGACTGTACTTGAAGTGATAAGTACTAGAAAAAGGCTTACCTAATCCTGGATTTTCCTCAGCAATTTTCTTGCGATGTTGCTTGCAGAATAGCAAATAGGATGTCACAACCTTGGGCTTCTAAAGATAAAAATATCAGTTCTATAAGAATAAAAATATTGTTTTCTCTTTATTTCCTATGTCAAACTTGGCTAAAGTTAAAAATCTTTAACTATATTGCTTTAACTCAAAGTTCTAGAGAGCAAAGTATTTTCCCATCATTACACACTGTTAAACTTTTCATTCCTCAGCGTGCAAAGAAAGTACTGTCCGATAGCCCGGGGCTAGTGGATTTTGCTATCGGGCTAGTGAATTCTGTTTTTAACTTGCCCGACGGGCAAGTGATGTTTTATGAGGATTTTTATGAGGAATTTGAATAACAGAAGAACAAAAAGCTTTTGGGGCTAGTTGAAATGACGTCTGGGCTAGTAAATGCTAGCTTCAGCTTGCCCGAAGGGCAAGCTGTAAAAGTGATTTTCTTTGCACCCTGTTCCTACACAAAAAAAGTGGCAAGATGATTTGTCATACTAAATCAAGTGAGGTTAATTTGTATGTGAATTATACAATATTATTGTTTTCATATGAAAGGGTGAACACTATGTAATTTTTGCAATCCCAACTGAGTCACTTTCTATTTTTATGAATTGACCCATTTTTTATATCGAATGAAGAACACTTTATTTTTCATTTGCGGTACAAACATTCTAGTACGTTTGCTAACCGTAAATAATTATGAAGAACTGTCTCACCCCAAAAAATCCCAAAAATGTGCCACCCTATTCTAGTAACTCTGTTGAAAATGCGACCACATTATAGTCAATCCAGTGTAAAAATGTGACCCCATCCAGTGGCACATCCCCATTAGCCTCTTCTAAGGGGGTACCCCCCCGAGTCTCCTTTTGTCTTCTTGAGCAAGGAGTATAAAAAGAGGCTCCTCCTAAATTACATCAAGGCTTTGAGGTTGCCAAAGCCCAAACTTGTGGACTGATCAATGTTGTTCTCTGTCACCAAACTGGTTATCCAAGTGCGAGCATTTGTTTATTGATAAACAGATGGTCATAACTCAGCGATTTTGTTACAAATAGTTATGGTGAGTCCTGGGACTCATCTTGTGAACAAATCATGAGTCCCACTCCAGAACCATTGAGTCCCAGTTCAAAAAAAAAAAATTCCTAAATTGAAAATGCTTGGGCCTTTATGTGATCAGACAGATAAAAGATTTTCATTTGTAAGGCACAATGAAGAATAAAAGAAATATGTGTCGTTAAAAAACAGCCACAAGAACAGCCACAGAAATCACACGAACAGCCTGTGGATATTCTACAAAAACATCTTCAAATCGATCTATCAATCAATCTTTGCATCCTTGGGAATTTTTATGCGTCACGGATGCAGGATGCAGAGGTAACAAAATCACTGTAACTGAGCTCACTATACCAAGCACAGGGCTATTAGGCCAGGCTTCAAGACTGTATCCCAGCAACAAGTTGCATATGCTATCTAACTCAATTGATGCAGTCTTTCTTGAGTATGCCAAAATCAAGCAAGTGGAAGAAAGGCTCTGC